TTCAAGAAAATTGAATAAAGTTCACTAATTTGAGAAAAAAGTTCATGAATTTGAAAACAATTTCATCAATGTTTTAAAAGAGTTCATCAAATTGAAAAAAAGTTCATAGTTTTCGAAAAAAGTTCATCGGATTTGAAAACAATTTCATCAATGTTTAAAAAGAGGTCATCATATTGAAAGAAAGTTCATGATTTTTGAAAAAAGTTCATCGGATTTGAAAAAAAGTTCATCGGATTTGAAAAATGTTCATGAATTTTGAAAAAAGTTCATCGAATTTGAAAAAAGTTCATCGATTCTGAAAAAAGTTCATCGAATTTTTTAAAAACCATGCACTAAAGAAAACAAAGAAAAAGGAAAAAAACGTTCCAAAAAGAAAAAAAGAAAAAGAACAAAAACATAACAAAACCGTTCTGAATAAATAGGAAAAAGGAATCGTTGTAAGAAGAGAAAGGTGAAGAAGCAGTATTTGAACAAGTAACACGATGTACTGAAGTGGTTAGTGCATGTGGCAAACTACCGTGAGGTTGCGGGATTGATTCCCATCGAAAAAGCGCCTTTTTTTCCTCACGACAGGAATGAAAGGAAAAAAAAGATGGGCCAGGCCCAGCTACCGCGGTTGCAGGTGCCGGTTTGCGGAAACAACTGTAACCGGCGCCTGTAGCGCTAAATAGAAAATGCCCCGCCCTCTTCCTTCTTTCTCCTTCTCCCTTTCCTTTTTCCTATTCCATGTGGGAGGTGGAATCCTACTAGGACTAGGGAGTCCTAGTAGGACTCCACACTTTGGACGCGCCCTATGAGGGTCGGCCTCCTCCTCCCACCATCCTTTATATACGTGGCCAGGGGACACCCCGTAGACACACAAGTCGATCATTGATCTCTTAGCCGTGTGCGGTGCCCCCCTCCACCATAATCCACCTCGGTCATATCGTTGCAGTGCTTAGGCAAAGCCCTGTGCCGGTAGCTTCATCATCACCGGCATCACGCCGTCGTGCTGACGAAGCTCTCCCTCGACACTCTGCTGGATTGTGAGTTCGTGGGACGTCACCGAGCCGAACGTGTGCAGATCGCGGAGGTGCCGTACGTTCGGTACTAGGATCGGTCGATCGTGAAGACGTACGACTACATCAATCGCGTTGTCATAAGCTTTCGCTTACGGTCTACGAGGGTATGTAGACAACACTCTCCCCTCTCGTTGCTATGCATCACCATGATCTTGCGTGTGCGTAGGAAATTTTTAAAATTACTACGTCCCCCAACAGTTTCTTCACTATACTTTTGAAAATAGACATTCAACTTCTGGAATGTATACTCTACTATTGCTGTCACCGGCAATGCACGGACACCCTTTAGCACCATGTTGAAACATTCAGCCATGTTATTTGTCATGTCACCGTACCTCACTCCATCGTTGTCAAAAGCCCGTGCCCACTTTCCTTTATCGGCAAGATTCCTATTTAGGAAATCTTTGCCACCATTGTTTGCTTTGGCATACACTTTGTCCCACAATTTCTCAAAATGTCTAGTGGTGAATGTGAGACAACAATCATGAAGAAGGTCAGACAGTTCCTTGTCTCCACATGCTCGGTAAAAGTTAGAAACAAAATGCCTTATGCACCACCTATGGTGCACGCGAGGATGTCCTGGAATGTCAATCTCCATTGCATTGAGTACCCCTGGGTGGCGGTCCGAGATGATGCAAACCTCTCTTTTAGGTCCAATTACATTGGTCCTCACTAGACTAAGAAATCACTCCCAGTTGTCATTGTTCTCCACCAACACCAAAGCGAACACCAATGGAACCAATTTGTCACCACCATCATTAGCAACGGCGATCAACAATGTGCCCTTGAACTGGGCAGTCAGAAATGTGCCATCCACGGACATAACCGGCCTACAATGCTTGAATGCCCTAATGCATGGCTCAAAAGTCCAGAATGCACGTCCAAATATTCGAACGGTTGCATCGTTGTATATCCTTGTTCTCACACCATCTGGCTCCACCGATATAGTACATGCCAGGATTTTCTGCCACCATCGCTTTCAACACCATCGCGAGGCGGTTGTATGATTCTTCCCAACCACCATACAATATCTCAAAGGCAGCTTGCTTGGCCTTTCATGCCTTCCCATACTTCACCTCGTACCCAAAAACCTCCTTCACCATCTCCATCAATGCCCGAATGGGATATGTTGGGAGTATCTTTATGGAGGCTGAAAATCGATATGCAATGAATTTGGAGGTCAATTGAAGGTGATCATCATTTACAGTAGCATCATCAATATCCTTGCCACTACATCGATGGTGAAACACGGAACTTGTAATCTTCCATTGTGGCCCACCTTTGACACATCTTGCATGGATAACCCAAGGGCAATGATTCTTGTGTTCCTCACATTTGACCACATAACGCACTTTCGAGTTTGACTTCTCCACAAAGAATGGCCGATGAAACTTAACCGCGTAGTCCTTGGCCCATATTTGAAGTTCTACCAAGCTTTCAAAGATTGTTCCTTCTTTAACACCATACACACTTGCTTTCTTATCTTGCTTTGAAGTTAACCTTGGTGCAAGAATTTTACTTGTGCCACCATCAACAATCGCCTTATCGGCTAGTCTTAGATCACGAAACAATGATGTCTTGTGACTATGACCTATTACCTTCTTGAAAGCATTGGCTTCTTTAGCCGTCAAACCATCCTCATCTATTTTCTCATCCGGGCCTTCATCCTCTGAGTCCCACGCATAGGACCTATTGTATGGAATCTCATGGTCCATGTCCTCTTCCATGCAATTTGCCTCAACATCACCAACATAATGATCATGAAGATAAGCCTCCGATTCATCACCCTCAAACTCACCACCATCCATGTGCAAGTCTTCATTATCAACTTGCTCATTCCCGACGGGGCTCAAACATTGGGTCAGAGGTTGGCTCATTGTTGTGTCATGCACATCCAGAGTGACATGTGTTGGATCTCGAACCGGGCTTCTAGCATCATATGAAGATGCACACCGGTTCAAATCAATGTGCAACCGAGCACAAACAACCTTTGTGGCAAATAACTCAAATGATTTATCTTGTGAGGCCAACACACTCTCTTTATATGCTTCCCAATGAAATCGGAGTCAAGAGGCATTATCTTCCAACGAATATGTTGCCCATACCCAACATTATACCTTCCGATTAAGTCTACTTCATCGCTTTCTTCCATCCAATTCAACCTTCTTCGAAGCTCAAACAAAACCTCCTCAAGGTTAGGACTTGTGGGGAAAACCGTCACTACCGGCTTCTTCTTCGGGTCACCATACTCCGCGTCTCCTTTCTCAAAGGAGACAAAGTCCACATGATGCACATTGATGATCCTCGCCATCTAGAATCATAAACACCAAAATGCATCAACAAAAAATAGCAAAATTGGATGACCTAGGGTTTCCCCAAATCCCCAAAATGTGAAGACTTCAACCAACAAAAAGAGGAGGAATGATGGAGAATACCTTGAGGGGTCGAAGGGAAGGATAAATCACCGATTTGGAGCTCTGATCCACGAAATTTTGTGGGCATTAGGTAGGGGCTTGAGTGGGGCGGCCGGGATGGAGAAGGGGAAAAGTGAGGGTTTGTAAAGGGGAAAACATGGGAGACTATGTTTAGTTGACGCAAGGGGCATGGCGCCCCCGGCAGGGGCGTCATGACCATGAGCACGGCGCCCTGTACTGGGGCGCCATGGTGCCATGCCCTGCCAACGTGGCAAGTCGCCACTGACCAGTATAGCGCACTTGACCGTGGTGTTATGATATCTAGCATGGCGCCCCGAATGCGGGCGTCATGCATGTAGGGCCATTTTAAGAAATAGTTTCAAAAGTGGGCCATTTTGTGCTGAACTTTGGCCAAAGCGCCAGTTTTGTGATTTTTCACGGCTGGCGACGCCAAGAAGACTAGGGTTTTAGAGTCGGGACTGCAGCGGGCGTGAGGCGTTTGGCTGGTCGATCCGTCACTTCAAGACTGGTCGGAGGCGGCGCTCTCCTCCTCCGGCCGAGCCGACCCACGACCGCCGCCGATTCGTGCCGTTCTTCGCTCCCGTTCGTGCTGACGGCGGCTCCCTTTCCTCTGTTCCGTCTGAAGAGAACAGATCCAACCTCGGTTCGTTAGCTCCTCAACTTGAGATGCTTATATGGATCATTTCTTCCTTTCTTTCGATTTGGATGGTTGATTGACACATGGAACTCCTAGTTATTACTACTTATTAGCGTTCTTGTTGCCGGTAATTTTTATGTCCAATCCCGTGATTTCCTTGCTAAAGGCAAGAAATAAAATAAAAAATCAGCAGGTGGATGTTATCTCGTACTAGATTTGCATCGATACTAGTTATTATGTCCGTAGATTTCTTCCTTGCTTTCATTTTCCCAGCAATTCCAGATATGTCTCTGCATTGTTGTGTGACTTATGGGTTCTTTGCTGTCTGCTCAGAGATTTAGGGATAAATAGGGTGGTGCCTTAATTAATGTTCTTTAGAAAGAGGAGCACATAAATCTTCGATATATACTTGAAAGAACAATTTTTCATGTATCGACAATACTTTATTGTACATGTTTCAGAATTTCGATTGTTGCACTTTAATTGATGACTTAATGTCCAAAGGATTATACTTGAAAAAAAAAACCTAGTTTCTGTTCTATTGATGCAACTTCCTCAGGAGCACCTAGGTCTCAGTCCTCACATGGAGGAGGTTTTTATGCGATCGGTCAGATCAGTGTTATCTCTTAGACTTGTATTTCTGATTGGTTGTTTCTGGATCCCTTCTTTCTTTATTATTTTAGCAGTTTCAGATACTTGGGAGGATAATTACTAAGATGTTGTTCCTTTAGTAACACATGAATTTTCACCAGTATAATATTTATCTTTATCACTATAGCTAAAGTGATCTTATAGCCCTGCTGTGCTTAACTCTGATCTCATTAATTTCTGTCCAGTGCTGTGTACCTATTGAACCTGCATTGCTCGATGGAGGATCTCCCGGAGGAACTGTTTGCAGAGTTCCTCAAAAGGATCACCAGGACAAGTGATCTGAATTCTCTTTCCCTTGTGTCGAAGCGGCTCTACAAGATTGAGGCAGATCAGAGGGGTGCTATCCATGTTGGATGTGGCCTTTGCCCTGCTACAGAAGCCTTGACATCGCTGTGCACCCGATTCCCTAATTTGTGTAAAGTGGAAATCGACTACTCTGGTTGGACGGCAGGCCATGGCAATCAGTTGGACAACCAAGGCCTCTCTGTGTTATCATCTCACTGCCCCTCGCTGGCTAGTCTCGGTTTAAGCTTTTGCTCATACATCGATGACTCTGGTCTTGGTTATCTAGCCTGTTCCAAGAAACTAGCGTCCCTCAGGTTGACGTCCACACCAAACATAACTTCAAGAGGGCTTCTCACCGTGTCTGTTCATTGCCAGAGTCTTTCTGCTCTCCACATTATTGACTGCAACAAAGTACTCCCTCCGTTCCTAAATATTTGTCTTCTTAGAGATTGTAAATGGACTACTGCATACGGATGTATATAGACATATTTTAGAGTGCAGATTCACTCATTTTGCTCCGTATGTAGTCACTTGTTGAAATCTCTAGAAAGACAAATATTTTGGAACAGAGGGAGTAGGTAGCAAAGATTGGTTGGAGTACCTTGGCTCTGTAGGATCATTGGAGGAGCTTGTAGTAAAGAATTGCGAGGGCATCAGCCAGGATGACCTCCTGAAGTTTGGCTCGGGATGGATAAATCTACAGAAGTTTGTGTTTGAAATCAAGAAAAGATTCTTTCGTAATAGGTGGGCTGGTCCTAATGGGGGCTATGATCCCTCATACGACCCTCATAGCCTGAATATGTATGATTTCAGTTGTGAGAACATGAAGGACTTGAAGTTGGGATCTATCGAAATTGCGACAGGAAAAGGACTTCGTTTTCTCCTTGGGAGGTGCAAAGCACTGGAGAAGCTTTGCTTGGAGTATGTTCGGGGTCTAAATGACAACGACCTGATTGCATTATCCCAGAGCTGCAACAACCTTAAAAGCATCTCACTTTCGCTGGATCCTCAGTACTATCACGATGATTTCAGGACGGCATTTACTGATAACAGCCTTAAGGCTCTAGCTCTCAGCTGCCCTATGCTTGAGACTGTTGAGCTCACATTTGCAGATTGTTCTCCCATGTACCCGTCAGAAATAGGCTTCACACGGAAGGGCCTAGTGGCTCTCATTCAGTCTTGCCCGATTCGTGTTCTCGTGCTAAGGCGCGCCAACTTCTTTAATGACAAGGGGATGAAGGCCCTCTCATCTGCTCCATTACTGGAGACGCTCGAGCTTGTGGATTGCGAGGCTATAACTAATGCTGGGCTGGGTTTCATTGTGCATGCCCCATGCTTGATTAATCTCACGCTCCTCTGTGAAGGTGTGACTGATGTTGGAGTATCGAAGCTGGCACATTCACAGAAGTTAGAGTCTCTGATCATTGAACGCTGTTGCTGCGTCTCTGAGCAGGCAGTGCGTGGGGCTGCCAGATCAGTTCAATACTCCGAGTCTGTAAGCCACAGCGAGCTAGAAAAATTGTTCATGAGTTCTTAAGAGTGCCGTTGATGAAGTGGCCTCCAAAATTTGTCAGTTCAAAACCCTCTTCTGAAGTGATCAAGGTGTTGCTGAGTGCTGGCTCTGCATCAATTAGTTGGATGTCCCTGTCATCAACTCCATTATGTTTCTCCGTATTCTCCTTATCTTTCTCAACTTAGTTTTTACTTTGACCTTTTGCTGCTGTTGTTTACCTTAGTAGGAGAGCATCTGCAGGGGATTTCGGACCGTGTACCAGTGCACTTTTCTTGCTCTTGTAGTTTACTTTCTTCAGCTTGATGTTTCCGAAATTCAGTTACCTACGTGGTTGGGCTGTAAGGATTTTGCTGCCCAAATTATCTAACTTTGTGAAACTGATATTGCAGATGTAGTTGTGTGGTAAGCGTAAAAATAAGTGGTTTGGGGGACTTGCGTACTTCTATATATTTTTCTCGTGATATTTGTTATACTTACACATGAATTCTCGAAACTTGTTGGCCTGAACGTAAAATCAACATTACATTGAGTTGTCATAGTTCTGTTGGCCTGTGCGTAGTAACAAAACCTGCTCTTCACCTGTTTTGTTTCAGTTGAGACACGAGATCTTGTTAGTATTCTTTTTTTCAAACGGCACTTGCAGCGTACTGTCACTTGATCAGAAAACCCCGAAATAGAAAGGTCGTTCGATTGAACACTAGGAAAAACAAAGGAATCTCCGAAAGATTTGAGGGGTAGAAGCTTTCTGTAAAATACACTGAAAATCGTTACAAAAGAAATTCTTTAGGGTGTGTTTGACAGCAAAGTATTGCATAAACTGTAGTATTGAAAAACTGCAGTATTTTTGTCTATAGGTCCTAAAACCATAGTTTTGACATATCAAAGTTTTTTTTTTGCGGGTGCATATCAAAGTATTTTGTAGTATTGGGAATACTGTGACAGTGTTTGGCTGGTGCATATTTAGGACGATGTAAATTAGCTAGCTAGCCGTTTCATAGCAGTCGCAAGACATGCACGATCTTAGCTGACCAGTGGTTGCAAACTGAACGGCCATGCATAAATAGACCCGGCGGCAAGCTATGCATCAGCGGCGCGGCACGGAACTGCGCGGCGTCGCTCTGGCTTGGCTGCGGCTTGACCGACAGCTGCTATCGCGGTGCACTGAGGCATGGGGCGACGTTCGGGAGGAGCGCATGGACAGGAAGCAAGGCCGGTGTGGCTCGGCACAAGGGCCTGCGCAGGCTCAGCCAGCAGCGTGTTCGGAGTTAGCTTTGTAGCCATCAGGGTGCGCCACCATGGCATTAGCAATCTAGGCATGTGGTGTCCAGGGGCCGACCTGATGCACAACGCGTACAAGAAGAAGAGAAGCGCATCTGGGAGTAGGAAGGACACCATTTTTATTTCCATTCCCTTCTCTTGGCCGGCGATCTTCAGGGCGGCGGCGACGGCTTGGGAGCGAGGAAGGCGATAACAAACAGTCTCGTTTTCTTTGCGTGCTCTGTTTTAAAAAAAGAGGTTTAGGGTTCTTTTTTTAATACAGAGAAAATACCACGGTTTTGACAATACCACAGTATAAATACTACAATTTTTTGTGGGTGCCAAACAGCTCACGGTAAATTAAACCATGGTATTTTGAAAAGCTGCAGTATTGTCACAATACTTCAAAAAAACTGAGCTATCAAACGTTCACTCGCAGAAATCAAACAACCCATATAGCAAAAGTTTCTGAGAATTTCATTTCTCCATTTTTCTATTTTCTTATGAAAAGATGCGGAAAATAGAAGCAAAAGAAAAGAGGTTGTGATCTGCGCCGGCCGGCCCAAAATTTCGGCCAGTCACGCGCGATCCGTCTGATGCGAGCCGCGTGGGCCATTGGATTGGGCAGAAAACAATTTGCCCTAAGTTTCTCCTTCCTTGCGTTGGTCCCGCATCTCACGCAGCTCCTTGGATATGGACCGCCACGCTCTGTTGCCTCTGGTAGCAGCACCGCGCCGCCTGTCGCTCCACGCTAGATAGTCGTCATGCTCGCAGCCGCGCTCGTTGCCACCGTCGTGGTTCGTAGCAACCCACCACCAACATCTCGCAACCCCGTGAAGTAATGCGGGAGTTCGTGAATGGATATAGCAAAAAAGGTCGCCGGTGGTAGCAAAAAACGATACGGTTGCAGCAAAAACTTCCGCCATCGTCGCTGATTTGTAGCTCGCCGTGCAGGGTCGTAGCATCGTCGTCTCTCGTTGTAACTTTGATGTCGGCTGGTTCCAGCAAATTTCCAATATGTTTGTAGCTCGACGCAGGGGCGGACCCAGAGAGAAAATGACCCGGTGTCCAATTGCAAAATCACACATACTCTACATCTAAAATGGGGTGTCACACACTATACTATACACAAAATTACCAAGGAAACAATTTTTCACCCGGTGTCCTGTGCACCCGGGAAGCTGAACGTGGGTACGCCCCTGGCTCGACGTCAGTTAGTTCTAGCACGTGGTGACCGCTTCTCCAACCTCGGGCTGCCGGGTCGCATCTCCGACCATCGCTAGGTGCACCGACTGGCTTGCTGGTCGGTGCTCGCCCCTCGTTGCGCGCGGCCATGGCGTCCTCTGCACGGAGCATGTGAAGAGCCCAAAAAATGCAGGAGGGGTGGGTCTGTGGCGCAAGAGGGAGGCATGGAGAGGCTGCTGGTCAGTGGCGGGGGCAGGGCAAGGGTGCGCGATCGTGCGAGCTCAATGGGCAGTGGTGGTTTGCCGGGGGAGAGAGAATAAAAAGAGGAGACCTGTTTGGGAGAGGCGCACTAGGGACACACAATTCGCTTCGATCGTACGCATGCCGCGTGGTCGATCGAAGTTTCAGCCGGCCAGCCGGATACAAACGATTTTCCAAAAAAGAATATGAACTCTTTTGACAACTGAGCCTTCTAAGGGTGACTTCAAGCTATCCCTCAAACTCACTCCCTCAAAATGTCCACGGGCATCCGGTCGGGCAAATGCCATCCAACGTCTAAACATAAAGTTTTGAAATAATGTAGTTCAAAATTAAATTTAAATTATTTGGACACATGCTCTAATTGTCTATATGAACCGTCCACAAATGCTCCACCACATAAACGTTGTATTTAAGTTTCTCGATTGCGGATCTCACTACTGGAAAATAGGTTATTAATGGCGCACCTATTTTGGCTACTAATGGCGCACATTAGGTGCGCCATTACTAGCACGCCATTAGTAAGTTTTAGTAATGGCGCACATTTGATGCGCCATTACTATCCCAGACAGTAATGGCGCACCTAATAGTGCGCCATTACTAACCCTTACGTGCGCCATTAGTAATAAAGCCAAGTGCGCCACTAGTAACCTTAGAGGTGCGCCACTAGCTAAAAAGCTAGATGCGCCATCAATAAAGGCTGAAATGCGCCACTAATAGTATATTTGAAAAACAAAAAAAATACAAATTAAAAAAACCTATAAGGAAAAATAATTTAAAAACAAAAAATGAAATAGAACCATAATTTTTATTATAGCAAGAATATTACCATGTCTTTACAAGTATCCAATAAAAAGAAAATTGCACAGAAATAAAACAAAATCCTATAACTAATCTTCTACTCCCTCCGTCCAAGAATACCTCTCGCAAGGGGAGGAAATTTTGAACTGAAGTGCATTTTACATTACAACCCGTCATATATCAAATCAAAATCAATCGAGTCCACGTCCGATCGGTAGCAGCGCCTCGTCCTGGCATCGAGGAGAGCCAGAACTCATCTCTTCGGTAGCTCGTCACCACCCTCCCGGCAGCCTCCGACATCACGTACCCACCCTCCCGGCGTCGATCAACTGCTTTGAGGTAGCAGATTCCTCCTCTGTGTCTGCTCCTGCAATTAACACTTTGAATGCAATTAACAATTTGAATGTTAATAAGAGGCAAAGACAAGATGGATCAGTATATAATAATGGAGTACATGCACAATTAGATGTTCAAGCTGTTTAATGTCACTCCCATCATCACAATTTCATCTCAGAAAATGGAGTAGAATAGATTTAAGCATAGTGGGAGAACTTGGTGATGTGAGCGAAGCAAACTGCCTACATTCTAGAGATAGAGGAATATAGATATTGTTCCATACGAGTCTGCAAACTTACAATATAGGACCATATAGGCAGCCCTGTCATTGCCAAAAAACAAATATCACAAGCAGGCAGGGATTCTAGAAATAGAGACCAACCAGAATTAACAAGATGACACATGCCAACAACACAACACACTCGTGTAGTTTTAAAGAGCAGTGAACCCTTGATAATATGGAACGACAACATATAAAGCCCATTCATCGTCAGTAAAGTAAATATGTGTGTGCCGGACTAGCAGGACTGGATTTAACCGAACAATTAATCACAGCGCACTACTGGACCTTAAAAGAGTTAGCTAGCTAGGGGGGAGGGGGAAGTAAAACTAAAGCGTTGCTGGGTTAATCCAACAAATTTGCGATACAGACAGAGTTAATCCATTGGAGTCAGACTTGTTCGTCACCAAAAAATACATGCAAGTTACTAACTTGCTAGCGGACCAAGAAGCTACATGAGGTGATGCATTTGTGACAGCCTCTGTTTCATCCAAACTAGTGTAAATGGATTTGAGCAACCCTAAACCGTGTGCGTACTGTATGGGCGGCCAAATCTGAAGGCACAGGCGGATGGGAGCAGCTTCTCTTTCTCCCCCTTGACCAAATCAGGTCAGAGACACAAATGCTCAGGAATCAGATCTGGAGATGGAAAAAGAGCTAAGGTAGCAGCAACGGGAGAGGATACCTTCCATGGCGTGCGTGGTCCTGGTGGGGAAGGGGAAGGAGCAACTTCCATGGCATTGTCCTCCTTCCTACAGAGATGAGACCTCTCATGGTGAGAAGTCCATGGAAGAAGGAGGAGCATAGGGGTCCGGTGCTGTACCTCGTTCCTGCGGCATGCATGCTAGGGTTTCGGGCGCGAGGCATGGCTGCTGGCAGGTCGGACTTCCATGGCCGGCCTCGAGGA